GGTGGGGGGTTGGGGATGGAAAGAAACTTTGCCTGGGGCAGTGGTGCACGATGCAGTGTGCAGATGATGTTTTACTGGGTTGTACACTTGAAGCCTGAATGGTTTTGTGAGTCAGTGTCACCCCAATAAATTCAATAAAATAAATAAAATTATGACTGAGAAACTGAAAAAATATATAAAATAGGAAAATAGACTAACTGGTTAAGAAGAATATATAGTTTAAATGTTAACGTTGTGAGGAAGGAAAATGTATTAAAGATAATACTGAGAATGACAAATAGAGTAGCTGCTACAGGAAATAAAAAGACAAAGCCTAAGATAAAAAAAGAAAACAAAATTTATTTTTAAAAGAAGAAAAAGAATAAAATAAATATTAAAATTATCAAGAATAGACAACATAGAATTCAGAACTCAAGAATTAGAGCAGTAAAGTTACAACAAAGGTAAGATTAAAACTTTTTTTTTCCCCATGGGTGAAAGCTTGAGCAAGGTCACAAAATCAAAATGAGGAAATATGCTAAAACGATACAGAAAAAGAAAGCTTAGCACCTAAATTATTTATCCCAGACTTAAAATTAAGAAACAAGAAATGATGAAGAGTAAGCTATGTTCTGTTTTTTTAGGGACCTCTAAGCTAAAACAACTCCTGGAATTGGGAGTCCATAAATAAGTTCAAGAGCAGAAAAATAGGGGCAGAAGGCAGTAAGAATTCTTGATCTTAGCTCTTTGCCTTGGCTCCCAATAACTGAAAGCTAGGAGGTGAGTCCTTCAGTTAACCTGCATGCCATCAGCTAGTAGCCAAGAGGTTTTCCATCTCAATGTCACATCCCACTGGCCATCAGTAACAGTAGGACAAGGGGACTTGGCTAACAAAGTAATTCCTGAGAAACTGCACTCCTTGGTTTTACATCAGCAGCTTCTAGACATAATCTGCTTGCTGTTAGGATGTCTGTTCATTTTGTGAGGGGTGCTGAGGAGGCGAGTATTCTGTTTAAATATGCAGCATTGAGATCTTAGTATAGGGGCATTTTTCTCACTTTGAATAAGGTTTCATGTTTTATAGTTTTTTCAAACCTCATAATTAACGTAGGTTTATATGAAACAAGTAGCAGTTTATCCAATGGCACTGAGTAGAATTCATTGTTTAGACGTCTAAGAGAATCAAGTTTTTCAGTGATTCTGTCCTTTCTAGCAGCTCTGTTTTCTAAAGGCCATAACTTCTTGCAGGTAGAAACTCTACAGGTTTAGGGCTGCATCAGAGTTTCATTTTAGACCTGTCCCATCCTGGGCCTCACCCTGAACCAGGACAGATGTCATTAACTTGCTTTTATTATCTCTAGCTCTTCCTCTCACCATGAGGAAGATGAAGTTAAATGAAACACTCTCTTGCTTTCCTTTTCGTTCTAAATTGGATGGTACCCAGGACAGATTTATTAAATATACAAGGACAAGTCAAACAGCACGGTGAACTTGGAGAAAGGGATATTAACCTTTGTAGCTCCTGTCCTGTTATTTTGTAAGTTAGGCTTTCCCTGTCCCAAGTTGCCAGGAGGGAAGATTAACCAGCACAGATGTGTCCTGAACCCCTCCCGCTCCCTAAAGCTGAATTTCTCCCTAAAGCAAATGTCGGCCTATTTGTTTTGACAGCTTCTACCAAAAATGATTAGAAAACGTAGTTCTGTTTTTAGAAAACAGCCATTCTCTTTCATAAGCTGTTCTAATTTCTAATTGTTATCTCTCCTGCTACACAAATTGCACCCATTTTCTTTTACTCTGTTTGATGTAAAGGAACAGCTTATCTCCGTCCTTCATGTAACAGTGTTTTTATTTTTAATAGAACTCTTTTATAAAAGCTATATGTTATCAGATGTCTACCATGGGTGATACTTTTATCACTAGGAACAAGATGCAGGAAATTGTATTCTTAGGTTAGGGAATAGCCTAAAAAATCCTCCATTATGTGAGGTAAATATTTTCAGTATTTAGATACCTGTTTTCTTTTGGGGGATATCTCCATATATTGTCCTGTGTGATGCTGTAGTTGCTCTTTTGGTTTGTATTTGTTCCTTTCTCTGTTTATAACTGACTCTTAAGGCTGAACATTATAATCAGAGTGTAAATGAGCAGTGCTAGGCTCAAAAAACAGATAAGCAAACTAAAATTTAATTTGGTGGCTCTTAAATCAGGAGCCTTTTAAAAACAGTTTTATTGAGATATAACTGATGTATAATAAATACACATATAAAATGTTTGATTTCATAAATTTTTACGTGCGTATACCTGTAAAACCTCACAGTTAGAAAAAAGAACATGTCCTCCATGCTCAAAGTTTCCTCATGCCCCTTTGTCATCTCTCCCTCCCTACTCCCTGCCCCTTGTCCCCAGGCAGCTGTCAATCTGCTTTCTGTTCCTATAGTCTGCACATTTTCTAGAATTATGGAATCACACATTATGTACTGTTTCTTCTTTGCAGTTTGACATTTTTTAGAACCTAACACACACAGTCTAGCACGTAATGTATACACTGTTTATAGTTTGAAAGAAAGAGTGAGTGGGATGTAAGTTACTCTTTTTTATTATGGTAATCATCCATATTTTTACCTGAATCAATAATTCATTCCTTTGTATTACCAAGTAGCATTCTGTTGTGTTTGACATACCATAATTTGTTTTTCGTTTACCTATTGATGGACATGGGTTTCCAGTTTGGGGCTATTACCAATAAAGCTGCTCTAAACATTTGTTTTTGGATCAAACCAAAAGAACAAAAAAACAAGCCCTCTGAGAATCTAAACTTACTTTGGTGCTTCTTAAATCAAGAGCCATTTAAAACATTGAGATTTGGGGATTCTAGACCTAAAATAAAATCTCCAAAGGTGGAGTCTAGAAATCTGTGTATTTTGTAAAAATGTCCAAATCGATGATAATGTAATTGCTTTGTAGATCATTGAGAAAGCTGCCATAATTAATGTCTGAATGCATATATCATCTAAACCTTTCACCGGGCTAATGTGGCTTCCCACAAACTACCTTGTTTGCCAAAGTAAAGTTGAAAGCACCATAATATCTGGAGACTTCATGTAAGAGTTTGAATGTGACTCCTCACTTCTGTTCAGACACATCTGGATATGAACTCTCACACTTGTGTCTTGAAGCAGCATAGTCCTGTCTGCTTTATGGAGTTGACAGTTTTATAGCTGTGCTGGTAGTTTTCTTTAAAACAATGTTTCCGTTAGAGATTATTTTGGCTTTCTTCACACAGGATGAATTAAACCTTGCTGATTCTGAAGTGGATAACCAAAAACGAGGGAAGCGGCATTATGAAGAAAAACAAAGAGAACACTTGAATACTTTAAATAAAAAGAAGAGAGAGCTGGATATGAAAGAAAAAGAGCTAGAGGTTATCCATCATATTTTGTTTTACGTTTTTGTTTACAACCTTAGTCCTGATTTTTAAAGTACATTTTCCTTGATGTCATGTTTCCAAACATAGACAAGTTCTCTGATGAATATCTGTTTCGTATAAAGTAACAGCTGTTTTGGTGAATCGGGAAAAAGAGGCTTGGGGACCCTCGGTGTGTGGGGACTTAAATAGACCAACACAAAGAGGACTTTCGGCAGGACTGCTGCAGGCCGGCATCGTGCCCTGAGCCATCTGGAGAAGGGCACTCCCTCTCAGCTCATATAGCTCCTTGGGTGCCTAGTGTGGCAGGTAGACAGCAGCTCTGTGTCAGGAAAGTCATCCCTGCCTCTGAGTACCTGGGACTGGGCTGCGCTGCAGTTCTGCTCCTGCTTCCTGGGCATCCCTGCTGACAGCTGTAAGCAGCAGCCCTGGTTTTGGAGATTAGTTGAAAGCAACCTTGGTCTGACTAGATGTATCCCAACTTTGCCTTTATAGATCTTAGGAGATGATTGAAACTCTGTAATCCATTGCCTTATTTAATACTTACACGGAATGTAGTAAGCGTAAAATAAGTATATGTGTAAAAGTGCTTTGAGTTTTTTAATATTTTACAAACATGAGGGTCTTTTTGTTTGAGTTTTCGGTACTATTTGGTTTTCAGGGTCTATCCTAAAGTGCACAGAAATCTACATTTGACCTCGGTGCCCTGGGGGGCAAACTTTTCATAAGTACCACTTGAAACTTGTTTCTTTAGAAGCTATGGAGGTCTTACAAATTATTAAAGATGTGCACAGTAGTGTAATTTTCTCTCAAAGATTTATAATGACTACTTTATTCTCAATATAAAGCTTAGAGAATTAACATTGATACCAAGTGTAATTAAAATATATTTTGTAAAGATAAGTTTAGAATTTTACTTTGCCTATTTTAGCACTAGTAGTACAATGAATTGTTATCTCAAAGAAGAGTTTTAAAGATATTAAACATCTGTTATCTTAGGAGAAAATGTCACAAGCAAGACAAATCTGCCCAGAACGGATAGAAGTAAAAAAGTCTGCATCAATTCTAGACAAAGAAATTAATAGATTAAGACAAAAGATCCAGGCCGAACATGCTAGTCATGGAGATCGAGAGGAAATAATGAGGTAAGTGGTTGGTAGCTTTTCTACGATATTATGTTTACATGTAAATCTTAAATTTGGACCAAATGTTGCTGTGGCATATAGTTTATAGCTAAACTGGTTTTTCATATGTGTATTGTTAATATTAGACTAACTTTTTTCCTTTTAAATTATTGCAAAATTTATTACAGAATATTTTAACATAAATGTCATCTTTATACCTATACTATTCATATAGACATGAAATTGTTCAGCTTCACAAGTAGTCAGAGAAATGCAAGTCAAAACAATTAAGGCCATTTTCATATATATCGAGAGAAAAAAGCACTTCATGTCAGTTAGATCTCAGTGAAATGGATATTTTTATACTACATAAAAATGGAAGCTCTGATATAGTTAGAGCGCAGGTTCTGAAGCAAGAGCACCTCAGTTTGAATTGCAATTGTGTTATCTCCTTATTATCCCATCTCTCTGAATCTTAATTTTCTCATCTATAAAATGGGTATAATTGTAGTATTTCCCTTATGGGGTTGTTGTTAATATTAAATGAGATAATCCATAATAGACAGAACACATAGGATTCGTAGTATGTTAGATATTAGTGTTTCTAAAAAACATGAAGGCAGGTTATGCCAGATGCCTTCAACAATTTTAGTTTGGCCAAGTAATTTTGTTCTTATAATCCAAAAATAGAAAAATAATTACTTGGACGTGTTTATTGCGGCATTGTTTATAACAGTGAAAAATTAGAACCGTGTACAACTGTAGGATAATGATTGTAATAGAAAATTGCAGCTGTGGCCTTTATGAAGAACTTTTCTCATTTTAAAAAAAAGGTGGGAACAGCAGTGATCTCAATTCTGTTTTCAAAAACATTGGAAAACAAAAATAATAAGATAAGTTTTTCTTTAAAGTAGCTAATACCTCTGTTTAAAAAATACAATGTAAGATACAATAAAAAATGTCTTTCCTCTTCCCATCTTCATTCCCTTTTTTCCTATGATTATATATGCCTTCAGTGTTTCTGTATGCAAGTGTAAAGTCAGGTGACTGGTTTTTATCCCTGCAGAGATACTATATAAACTCTTCTACAGGTTGCTTGCTTTGACTTAATGGGATACAGTATTTTGGACATTTCTTCATTGTTCCAGAGTGTTTAACCATCCCCTATTGATGGGTAGTTGAGTTTCAGTTGAATCTTTTGCTATTATATATGGTGGTACATAATAAATAATTGTGTACTTGTGTCATTTTATATGTATTCAGGTTATTTATGTATGTATGTATATATGTATGTATGTATGTATGTATGTATTTATTTATTTCTAGGGATTGTATTTAATTTGTACCCCCATCGGCAGTGTATTAGAGGGCTTGTTTCCCTAGAGCATAAACAGTGTGTGTTCATCCTAATATGCTTTTTGCTGATGGGTAGATTTTCCCCTCCAGAAAACAAACCTCGGTGTAATGCCATTTTGTATTTTGCTTAAATATTAAGTGTGGTTGAACTTTTTTGTCTGAAGGACCATTTATTTCTTTTTCTGTGAACTTTTAATATTCTTTTTCATCATCCTGTGAATATTTTGGGTGTGAGGAATGTATTTTATCTTTTTCCAAATGGCTCTGCAGCCATTGAAAAGTTGTTTGTCCGCTAGTTGTTTCCTTAAGAATGGCTACATGAATAATATTTTTTGTGTTTTTGCATTTTCAGAACTATTTGTCTTCACTTTGAATTGAAGAGTAGTTTAGCCTAATGTAAAGCGCCTTGTCTCTTGAGTATTTGTTTGTGATAGCACTTGTCTACCAAGTCCTATCCTGTAGCTTGTCTAGCATGTCAGATTCTGTGGTCCTTTCCCTTGGTACTGTGTAATTTTTTAGCCTGGAGATTTAACTCTTATTTCTTAGTTTTCTTGTATTTTACTTTTAAATATTTTCCCTTCTGTTGTTCAGTTTTCTTTCTGAGGCCTTTATTTAGGCACGTGTTGGATATTATCTTTTGTCTTCTCTCTGTATTTTGTCTGACTGTTTTATCTGTTTTCCCGATTTGTTTGCTTTGCTCATTTCTGTTCTGTGCTCCTCAGTGTGTTTTCTGTTTTGTGTTTGCACCTTTGCGTCACCCTCTAACTTATTTTGTCTTATCTTTGTTCTTTTTTTTTTTTTTTTTTTTTTNTTGAAAAGTTGTTTGTCCGCTAGTTGTTTCCTTAAGAATGGCTACATGAATAATATTTTTTGTGTTTTTGCATTTTCAGAACTATTTGTCTTCACTTTGAATTGAAGAGTAGTTTAGCCTAATGTAAAGCGCCTTGTCTCTTGAGTATTTGTTTGTGATAGCACTTGTCTACCAAGTCCTATCCTGTAGCTTGTCTAGCATGTCAGATTCTGTGGTCCTTTCCCTTGGTACTGTGTAATTTTTTAGCCTGGAGATTTAACTCTTATTTCTTAGTTTTCTTGTATTTTACTTTTAAATATTTTCCCTTCTGTTGTTCAGTTTTCTTTCTGAGGCCTTTATTTAGGCACGTGTTGGATATTATCTTTTGTCTTCTCTCTGTATTTTGTCTGACTGTTTTATCTGTTTTCCCGATTTGTTTGCTTTGCTCATTTCTGTTCTGTGCTCCTCAGTGTGTTTTCTGTTTTGTGTTTGCACCTTTGCGTCACCCTCTAACTTATTTTGTCTTATCTTTTTTTTTTTTTTTTTTTTTTTTGGTCTAACCTGCCTCCTGCCTTGAGAGCTGCAAGTTCTCACTTCACCACCTATCATGTTACCACCGTCTGTCGGCTACCTGTCTGTCTTTCTGCCCTTTCGTTTCTGCTGTCAGCTCTTCCTTCCTGGTAGCATTTGTTTTGTTTTAATTCATGGTATTTGGTCACAGTTTTCAATCTGTTTTGTGGCATCATTGTTCTAATAAGTTTTCTTTTTCTGTAGGGGGAGTTCTGCTGCTCTTCCTTTGCCAGCTCCCTCCTATGCCCCCCCATCTTTGTATGGATGCTATGCTTGTGCCTGTTTTGTTGCTCATTTTTGAATTAGTTGGACTGTCCTGGACTGGGCATTTGAAGGAGGGTGGGTGGGTAGCTGTGGAAGCCTTGGCTCCGGTTGCCTTTCATACTTTGTCAGGAGCTCTCTCTCCCTTTCTATAGCAACAGCTGTTGTCAGTAACAGCGCTTCTGAGCAGCCGTGCCTTCTCTGCCATTTTGACTTTGTCTTGTTCTGCAGGGATCGGGGGCTGGAGGAATCCTAATTTCTCTGTTTCTCTGTTCCCACATTGGTGTCTGTCACTAAGGGAAACACCCCTTGCCTCCCAGTGTGATCCCTTCACGTTTAGAAGGGATTGCTGGTGTATATTTGTTGGCATTCTCTAAGGTCTGCCACCTCTGCCCCCCACCTGCACACTTTCCTTCTGTGCTTTCTCTGCCCATTCTAGGGCTGGACTTCATTCCTGCCCAGCCGGGCTACCCACTCTTCCCGTCAGGGCAGACACGCTCATGCTGGTAGTGGATTGTGGAAATCTGCTGGTGCTGGGCCCTCAGCACTCCTTGTGCTCCCTGTTCTTTTCCACTAAATATATTTAAGATTTTACTTTTTCATGTTTCTTTGAATAGCATTTATTTACTTAATATTTTGTTCATAAAATAGGCAGTACCAAGAAGCAAGAGAAACCTACCTTGATCTGGATACTAAAGTAAAGACTTTAAAAAGGTTTATTAAATTACTGGAAGAAATAATGACCTATAGATACAAAACATACCAACAATTTAGAAGGTAAGTGCATTAAAAAAATATTACCACATATACATTTTTAGATTTTCTTTGTTTTTATTTATCCCTTATAAATATTGAAATTAAAAGAGCTTGACATGATTCAATTAGTGAAGAGCCTCCTGTGCTTACCTTGTCAGCTGGTGCTCAGGACCGTCTAACTTAATCAGGGAATTCTGCATTTGAAATGCCCTTTATAGTGATCTTCCAGCTCTTCCACTCCAGTATGTATCCTTTACTAGATCCTTCATAGGTGCCTGGTCACTGACTGCCTGAAAGGTTTCGAATGGGAGCTCATTGGTTCTGAAACAGCCTCTTTCACTCTCTGACATTGCACTTTCTTAAGGGATACACGTTTTTGACGAGACCTGTTGGGGCAGTATCTCAGTTGAGTTACCACGATCAATAAGAATGGTGTAGCTTGTAGTTTAATGGATGCAGAATATCTGTTTACTGCTGTATCTCCAGTACCTACTACAGTACCTGAAATATAGTAGGAACTTGGTATATATTGGTTGTGTGAATGAATATTATTAACTTACACAGAAATGTACAGACTCTCAGGGATAAATGACCCCAGCGAAAATCACAAGCAACAGAAATAAACCAGAAGACCATTTAAAGGTAGGGATGACCCTGATGTGCTTGGATCCAAGGCAGCCCTAGTCTTTACACTTACCCTCTATTTTCCCCAGAGGCATTCCCTCAGTCACACACTTTCTACCTGTCTTTATACCCCAAACTCTATCATCTTAAAACTATAGAAATTAAAAAAATGTATCCAGTTCTAGTATATGCATGGAAATTCAGATAAAGCCATCAGGAGAAATAGGCTTTACATGTTTGACCATATTACTTAACTGAGTTTCAGTTTCATGAACATGTTATTAGGTTAAATAGGATTTACTTTTATCCTTTTGAGGCTGCTTTTAAATTTTGTTAGGTGGGACCAGAGCAGCCTTTATTCGAGTACTAAGTTTTTCCTACCTGTGAAGCAGTGTTCTTCTTAGAACACTGATATCTTGTGAGTTAAAAGGTTTTCCGCCCTGGCCAGTGGGAATGTGGCCAGTTCCTGGCTCTGGGCGACCTGGAATTACTTCTGCTTATTCTGGGTGCTTCTCTCCCCGCCCTGGGCGGTACCCTCACATGAGTGGAGTACCCGGTGAGACCTGAGGCACCTCCCTGGGTCCTCTAGAGCTCTCCCTGTGCTGCACTTTCTCCGGCAGACTCCGCCTTGTGAACTACAGACTCCTTGGCCCCCCCAGACGTCTAGCTCTGCGTCCTCAAAGAGGGAAACCCCAGGCTCCACTCAGGTTCCACCCCGCCTTTATTGTTCCATAAGTAGCAGTTGGGGCACCCGTAGGGCTAGTTTGTTTCCCATCTTTGGGGGTCATTTTCGCTGGAACTGCCTATGCTGCCTGATGCCCAGAGTCTGAAAACTCTTGTTTTACTCATTTTGTCTAGTTTTTTATTTGTTTCAGGCAGAAGGGAAAATCCCATGCATAGTACTGCATCTTTTCCAGAAGCAGTAGGATTTGTTTTTTATCATTTTCCAGAAAATATGTATTTAAAGTATTTTCTATGAAAGTATTGGTCTTGTAGTTGATTGCTTTGATATGTTTTATATTGTTTGCCCAATGTTAGGAGTAGAATAAGAATGATCAGGTTTTAAAAATTATTTATCTCTTTACACTGGAGAACCTTGCCATTTTATGAGGAAAGTCTCTTTTAGACATCCCATGAGTGGAAGCCATTGAAACATATATATCAGTATTGAAAGAAAAAAATTAACAGAAAATTCTGAAAACCAACCAATAGTGGTTGCTGTGGCACAAGAAAAAAACAGCTCAGGCTGTCAGTATTTTCCAGTGTGGAGATTTAATGCCATTTAGGAAGGAAATTAGGGAAGAAAACCATAAATGATAGATACTCTGAAGAAATGAACCTTAGACTCATTAAGGAGCAAAAATATTAAGAAAAATAGCCAGTCACCTATCACCTAGATCTTCCTTGGTAAATACCATTCCCCACCCAGGAGGAATCAAGGCTCCTTGGAGAAAAGGCTGATTCCAGGCTGGGCAGGGAAAGTACAGATGGGCCTCTGGCTATGCTAGAAAGTAAGGAAGTGCTCAGAAAATGTGGAGTCTTGATAAAAGAACATAGAGGGCAAATTGAGGGGCTCCTATTGGTGAAATCTGGGACAATTTGAAGATCAAACTAAATAAGGACAGTAATAGTTGGTAACCCAGTGACTGAAATAAGAGTCTGTGATTCCAGCCTGATAAATAGAAAGGTGGGTAGTGAAGAAGTGAAGAAGAGGGGAAAGTCTCCTGACAGTAGAACGCCGCCCTACAAATAGCGGTGGGGTGGGGAGTTTGCGTTGTGCCAGGCGGTGGGTAAGGCGCTGCAGATGCGCAGCGAGGAGGAGGTTGCCCTTCCCCTTTCTTTCTGCTGCTAGACAGTTGAGAGGAGACAGGCAGACGACTAGGTCTTCTATCCATTATCAACACTGCCAGAGCCAGTCCTCTCAAGTACCCGATGTATGTATTAGGGTGATGGATTCATAAATCCTTGTGGACTGGCTAATGCCATGGGATATATTAAATGTGAGATGCCATCTTTTCATTTTATAGATGTTTGTGGTAAAAACGTAGAGATAGATGAAGTATAAAGGTGGGGTTGGGGGGAAATCACCTAAAATTCCACCTACAAAATTGCCAAGCAGTGTTAACGTTTTGGCATGTTTCTTTCTGGTCTTACATGCTGGTTTAAAGATCATGCTGAATAGACACTTCTGTATCTTTATATTTTTCTTAATGTGCCCAATTTTTTATTTCAAGGTGTTTGACTTTACGATGCAAATTGTACTTTGACAACTTATTATCCCAGCGGGCCTATTGCGGAAAAATGAATTTTGACCATAAGAACGAAACCCTTACTATATCAGTAAGTATCTTAACTTTGTGTGTTAATTATTAGGAGGTGCTTTGCCAAAGCGTTGAAAATTAAATTGACCTTATTGGCTAAAGCTGCTATTGTATTTTTTTTTAAATTAAAAAAAAATTTTCCCCCCAAACAACTACATGTTTTTCTTATGATGAAAATTAGGAATTTTATTTCAGTGACATGTGTTTACCTTCTCTTTCTACTCCATTGGTTTCTTTTTTAAATTATATGGGACAGTATAGAAGGTCCATTTTCTCTGGTCTCACTATAGGAGACCAAGAAAAGATGCATAGCCACATGCATTGAATATACGTTAAAAATTGTATAGTCAGGCCCGGCCAGTGTGGCTAAGTGGTTGAGCATCAGCTGAGGAACCAGGGGATCACGGTTCAGTTCCCAGTCAGGGCATGTGACTGGGTTGTGGGCTCCATCCCCTGGGTGGGGGGGCGGTGCAGGAGGCAGCCAACCGATGATGTTTCTTTCTCATTGATGTTTCTAACTCTATCCCTCTCCCTTCCTCTCTCTCTAAAAAATCAATAAATACTTTTTTAAAAAAAAAAAATTCTATAGTCAGGAGGTCAAGAGCAACTACCCACTCTAAATGGAGAAAAAATTTCAAATACGTGCTTACTCATTTTAGTTGCCATAAGTATAACTTCCACTTTAATACTTAGAGGAATTTGTGACAGAGTGCTCTTCGTTTTATTAATTGCTAGCTTATTGGTCCAGGAACCCTTACTTATCAAAGGGGAGTTTCTCAAAGAGATTTCAGGAATTCTGGTTCATTGCTGTTGTATTCTTTGGCTAGTGTGAGCCTGTTTAAGTCAGTCCTGTGTCTTTTTGACGTGCAGTAATTACTCTTAAAGCAGTTTAACCACTAGATGTCACTGGAATTCAAGTAACAAAAGATTACCTTAGCCCTTATAAATGTTTGAAAAAAGAAATAAAACAATCCCATTCACAGTAGCATCAAAAACAGTAAACTATTTCAGAGTAAATTTAACCAAGGAGGTGAAAGATCTCTATGCTGAAAACTATGACTCATTGGTGAAAGATTGAAGACAACACAGATAAATGGAAAGATACCCCTGTGTTCATGGATCAGAAGTATTAATATTGTTAAAATATCCATACTTTCCAAAGCCTGAATAGATTCAATCCAATCCCTATCTAGATTCCAATGGCATTGCTCTTAGAAATAGAAAAAACAATCCTAAAATTTGTGCTGAACTGTAAAAGACCCTGAATAGCCAAAGCCATCGTGAGGAAAAAAGAACAAACTTGGAAGCAGTCACCCTTCTTGCTCACTGCAGCTTTCAACACAGGTTGAAATCTTCTCCTAGAAGAAAACATAGGGAAGACGCTCCTTGATATTGGTCTCAGAAATGATAATTTGGATTTGACATCAAAAGCACAAGCCTTGGGTATATATCCAGAGGAAATGAAATCACATCTGCATCCCCGTGTTCATTGCAGCATTAGCCTAAGTAGCCTAGACACGGAAACGACCTAAGTGTCCGCTGACAGATGAATGGATAAAGGAAATGTGATACACATACACACACACAGGAATATTATTCAGCCATAAAAAGGAAAGGGAATTGACGCTCATGCGACAGCATGGGTGGACCTCAAGATATTGTGTTAATTGAAATAAGTCACACAGAGAAAGACAAATACTATATGGTATAACTTCTGTAGAATGCAACAGCCAAACTCACGGAAGCAGTGGAATGGTAGGTGCCAGGCGCAGGGGCCTGGGGGAAACAGGTGACGGGGGTCAGGGGGCACAAGCTATGTGAGATAAATGGGTTCTTCCCTGTGTTTTCTTCTAGAAGTTTTCAGGTCTCCTGTTTGAGTCCTTCACTCACTCTGAGTTAGTTTTTGTGAGTGGTATAAGACACAGGTTCAGTTTCATTCTTTTGCATGTGGATGTCCAGTTTTTCCTGCACCGTTTGTTGAGGAGATTATACCCTTTGCCCATGTGTGTTCTAGGCTCTTTTATCAAATATTAGTTGACCGTATATGCATAGGTTTATTTCTGAGCTCTCCATTCTGTTCCATTGGTCTGTGGCCTGTTTTTATGCCAGTACAGAATGACAGCTGTAATTAACAATAAATACTGTATGGTATACTTTCGAAAGTTGCTCAGAGAGTAGATCTCAAAAATTCTCACCACCAAAAAAGGCAACTGTGAATTGATGGATATGTTAACTAACCTTATTGTGGTAATAATTACTCACAACATATGTATACGTATATCAAATCATCACCTTGTACACCTTAAACTCGCACAATGTTACATGTCAATTTTATCTCAGTAAAGCTGGAGAGGTGGGGAGGGGATCTATAACAGTGCCAGGGAGGCTGGTTCAGATTATTTTAATCACTAATATTTGCCTCAACTTTGGCATTTTATTTATTATTAAGCCTTTGGAATTTTGGTATGTTAGATCCAACTCTGGTGAAAAAATGTTTCCAATTAGATTTTCTCACAATAAAGTAAAAGCCACTGTTGTATAGCTCATTGTTTTTCTGTAAAATGTTTTAAATGGCATTGATGTCATGTCCACATGACTAAATGATATTGTCCTTTTGCATTATTTTAAACTATAAACCATTCTTTCTAATGCCAGGCAGGCTTTTTGTAAAGAGTTTAATAATGCCTTTTTCTCTACCTTTTTTTGTTAACTCACTCAAGGTGCAGCCGGGAGAGGGAAACAGAGCAACTTTCAACGACATGAGAGCCTTATCTGGAGGCGAGCGCTCCTTCTCCACCGTGTGCTTCATTCTCTCCCTCTGGTCCATTGCCGAGTCTCCTTTCAGATGCCTGGACGAGTTCGATGTCTACATGGTAGTGCTAAGTTTTACATTCTCTAATTTGGGGGTGGGGTGGTGGACGTGTGTGTTGTATGGAAGCGGTTCTCTATTTTTACCCTGCTCCTTCAGTCCCCTTTTCACTATTTTGCCAGTTGTGTGTTTCTAAAATAAATTGGATTTTGGCCACTCAGTTGTTTAGAACTCTTCCTTGGTTAGTTGTCCTACTTGGGATAAATGTTAACTCTGTAGGGTAACTTTGGGGCCCTTCATGTGTGTGGTTTTCCAAACACTGTGCCTCTGTTTGTGCCCTTCTTCGTGGTATGTCACATGTTACTCCTCTCTCAAGACTTGGTTCAGATGTCACCTTTATGTGGCTTTCCTGACTTCTACCTGCCAGGCAGGATTAGGAACTTCTCAGAGCTCCCTCGGCATTACCTTACAGTAACTCATACTGTTGTTTTGTGTCTTATCTTATAAAATATGTTATGTATTTTATATCTATATATTTTTTCATTCTGTTTCAGTCCCTCTTCTGTCTGAATGTCCCACGAAAATTGTCATCTTTTTGAGGTTATAAACTGTCTTCATCATGTTCCTACCTCCTAATGCCTAGCCCATAATAAGCATCTAGAAAATGCTTATTCATGAGTCAGAATTTATACTTGTGAGTGCTGTATAATCTTTCAGGTGTCAGTTTTCCTTGTGATATCATTGCTTATAATTAGCTAGCAGTTCCTCTGAGAATTGCTTTCAGAGCTAATTCACAAATCTTAGAAGGCGATTGTTCTTTCCTGCATTGTTTTTGTCCCAATACCATTAGCAGTCCTGTCACCCATCTTATTTGTCATATTTAATTCAGAACAACTTTGTTCTCTTTCAGAAGTTTAGAGGGTCTTAATCAGAATGGCAGTTTGCCCCATTGAAATTATTCAGATAAGTGTACCCAGGTTCTGAGAACCAGTGCAAAGGACCCAAATAAATTTTGTTTTGGTGCGCTGGCAGCTTTCCTATTAAATGATAGGCCTCCTGGGGCAGTGTTTTTAAAGGACAGTATTCCACTTGTGCAAGCTCTGTTTATTTTCGTTAATTTTACATTAGATTACTTTGCAGATATGCCTGATGGAAGAATTTATATCAGGTGAGCCACTGGGCAATGTAGGCAGGATGTGGGTCCCCTGTCTGCCCCCAAAGCCCACTTTCTAAACCAGCAGACTGTACCGACCGCCACGCACGGTTTCCAGTAGTCCTTTAGAAATATATGCATTCCTCTGTCTGTGTTTTCAACTTCCAGGAGCTTGCAAGGGCGGGAGGTGTACTTTGGTCATTTTTCTTTTCTGTTATTTAATTCAGAAAATGTAATCACACAGTTTAATTCATTTCATTTCAAAACCTGTTATAACTAAACATTCTTTTTCTATACACCGATGTACTGTTTAACTTATTTTAAAGATTTAATTGAGAAATTGGTCTGTAAATTCAAATTGGTTCACATTGTACAAATTGTAGAAGGTGAAGGAGGCAGGCAGAGTTTTTAAAACGCCCTAATTAATCATTGAGGACAAATTTGAGAGACTTAATAAGTTTGCAGCTAGTCACTTTTGATACTGTTCTCCTGAGTGACTGTTACGGTACAGATTAGCTTCATTCTGTAACAGTCGTGTCTTTTGAATATTTTTTCATTATTTAAGTTGCCAAGCATGTTTTTGGGAGGGAACCATACTTACAAACACTTTCACTGTAGAAATGACCCGGAAGATAGCTGCACTCAGCTGTTTGCCCCTGACGGTTCTGGATATTATCTTCCTGTGCGTGGCATCAGACGCGAAGTACTGGATGGTCCCTGGGTAAAAATCCAGGGCTTTGCAGGAGCCAACTCGATTGACACAACAGGGCCCCTAACCTCTGCTTTGTTCTTCAGGACATGGTTAACCGGAGGATCGCGATGGACATGATACTCAAGATGGCCGATTCCCAGCGTTTCAGACAGTTTATCTTGCTCACCCCTCAAAGCATGAGGTAACTTTTAAAACTCTTCTGTGAATATATATGTCAAGTATATAAAATAGGAAAAAGAAGTCTTTTATAATCTTAATTTTTAAAGTGCAAATGCATAAATGACCAATAAAAGGAAAAATTAGCTTCTATTCAAGTTTTGGAGATTTCAGATTATTTTTTCTTTGTAGATATTAAAACTTTGTTTGTGTCATCTCCCTTCCATAACAGAAGCAAGTTGATTTGAATGTGAATATTTGCTTATTCCTATTTCTGGTTATCATGTTCATTATGGTTATCATGAACAACTGATGTAAAATAATTTCAGTAATTCCATTTAGACTAAAGAAGCAGTTCATGATTTCCCTAGCCTTGGCTCTTTTCCTGGTCAGTTCCAAGTACCAATCCTAAATGAAGAGCTCTATTCTGCTGCTGGCCAGCAGCTATTGGGCACCTGTGAGGTGTCAGGCACTGTGTCGCTTGGAGTTGTTGTTCTGTCTTTAAACTGGTCACTTTGACCACATGGGAATTTGTGTTTGTTATTGGAAATACCTGGTAACTCCTTTCTAGCTAGACAAGAAGAACAAGAAATAGTTGATATATAAATCTTCATTTTCTTTTTTCTCCAAACTGAAAACCCACAGTATTTAATAGGAAGTTAATTTTTTTTAATGAAAAATTATTTCCTTACTACAAATCTTATTTCTTCTGGAACTTCAGATAGTAGACATATCCCCCTGTTAACAAATAACAGCCATTTAGATTTATATTTTCATGAGGAGTATTAGAATTTTCTTGTAATGTGGAAACATTTCCTTGGGAACTTGAGTAATTAATTTTACTTCCTCTAGCTCACTTCCATCAACCGAAATGATTAGAATTCTTCGATTGTCTGATCCTGAAAGGGGGCAGATGCTCCTGCCTTTCCGGCCTGTGGCTCAGGAGGAAGAAGAAAATCGAACTTGATCGGTCCTCATGTTGAAGGCTTTGTAAAGGGAAAGAATTCAGGAGTATTTGATGTAATAAAATGAAACTAAAGATATTCTGGAATAAAAGAGATGCCTTTGTATAGATGACCACAGTAAAATATGTAAATAACCTAGAAAACCAGCCACAACCAGCAATTTAAAGTTACTCTTAACTTTACTTTGAGAAAATCAGTTTCATAGTACTGGTTTTAAATCTTTTTAAGTTTTTTTGTTGTTGTTTCTTTTTGTTTTATTTTTAACCATCTACTTTTATAGATTCTTTTTCAGAAGTAAAATTTTGTACATATGTACATGTACATATCTGTTTTGTTTGGGTTAATTTCTATAGAATTTGTAAGAATGAAAATAAAAGTTTTGATCCCCTGATTACATTTAGTTCTGCTTTTCCAGAATATTACATTCTCCCCGAGGGGGTTGAGGTGCACAGGTGTCTGCAGACAGGGACGAGTGTACAGTGGATTTCCTGCCTGCTTTCTGCTTAGCAATTATGAGGGACTTAAACAGGACTCTAAAAACTTGGGTCAGAATCCCTGCACAGGTCATTTTTAGCACTAGAGGTACAACTGTAGATTTGGGCTGTAGTTTTAATTCCTGTGCTGCACCAGATTTAAGATGTCTGTTTATGAGACACTTCTGTGGAGCACTGAAGCATCACCAACTCTGGCAGTGTTGGTCCCTCAGTCCTTAACTGTCATCCACTCACCTGGGCGTCTAACCCACATCAACTGGATTATGACACAGTTCTGTACCCTGACCTGCCACTTGCTTGCCTGATTTAAAATCCCTCATTTTTCAGTCCAGGGGCGTGCAAGGCCTGGCTCAGCTGAGAGGGCACACAGGCCAGAGAGACTTCAGACCAGGCTGAGGAGAAGGGCTGGGAAATTGGGGAGGAAGGGGACCCCACCCCAGAGAAGGAGCAGCCAGGAGCAAAGGCCACCCTGCTGATGGTGAGCTGGCATCACTTATAAGACTCACCTGATCAGAGCTGTTCAAAAATGTGCTTCTTAGAATAATGAAATACAGCCTTTTGTGAGAAATGGTATTTAGGAACTTTTTTTTAAAAAAAGAAAGCATGAATAGGACTCCTACCTTTATTCTCTATGTTTGATCCTAGGATTAGTGCTCACCTTTTTAAAAAGACATGTGTGTCCGGCAAGAAGCATTTCCTGTATTGCTAGCCATAAATACTTATGGAATTGAAAAGGAGGTATTTTAAGAGAAAAGGCAGTATTTTAAAAGCAGCAGCACTTCTGTAGTTACTGAGAAACACTGGATTTTGTTTTTTATTTTGGTGGAGGAAGGGAGTTGAATTTAGCCCTCACTTGAGACCAGTTGGCAGATGAGAAGTAAAAGCTTGTGGTTTTCCGATCTAAGAATTTAAAGGAAGAAACTTAGCTGAATGTTTCCAACACCCCTCACTAACCACACAAAACTTGATTTTTTAAAGTTACATGTATAAATAATTTCTATCAAAACCATTTTAACATACATGTGCTTTTTCAAATAAAAAATAGAATATACCAAATGTGTAAACTTCTATTAAATAAATTCAGTGTCTGAATTTTTGTGATGGTTTTTGAGTGTTAATGGGGAAATACAACCCTCAGGTGTCCAAGCATCTCTTACTGAGTCAAAGACTATTCATTGCTTTGGCCTCACAAAGTTTTGGTTTCAAGCATCATAAGGGAAAATATCTTTAATGTTCTAATTAATAGTAACATTAATTAAAAGAAAAGAAAAAAGGAAATTGTTCTTTTAAAATATGTGTAACTTCTAAAAATACAACTTTAAATTCATGTGTGTCCAGTGACTTAAATACATCATACAAATGACTCCTCAACCCCGAGTTTATCATCAGCACAGCTGTGATTGAACTGAGTATGAATTGCCCCTCTTGAGGGCCAGGATGAAGTGGGAAGGTTGCTTTTTCCCCCCTTTCATTGTCATTCATTCTTTGAAATCCAGAGTTTTCTGTTTAAGGGTAGATTTGGTAAATCGTCACTAGCTGACCCTTTATGATTATGAACATCTGTTTCAAATTTAAAATTGTGAAATAAGAATTAAAGGAAAAAGTCAAATGTTATAAATTTATTTGGGACGTCAACTGCCACCTCTTCGGAAGCCTTTGAAAATTCAAGCAGAAATCAATACACATTCATCTTTTTTTTTTTACTTTCAATAAATAATATCTCTGTGTATATGTATATATAGATAGATATACTTAGTTAATGAGTCATCTAGCAGGAGTTTTAAGTTTTATACTGCGTTAATTCCAAAACAGCTCTTTCCAGATTGGTAGGATGCAAATGAGGTAAGAGTGAAGGCAAACCTAAAAGGCATGCAAATGCAGTACATTTATATTCACCGGTGCTACAAGCTCTTGTGGGTGGACCACACGGAGGAGCCAAGCACCCCACTGTGTGTGTGTCCAGTGCTACTTTACAGGAGGATGGTGACACAGCTTATAATCATTAAGTTACATTACTGTGGGGGGTTCTCAGTGCTACTAATATCATGTAATCAAGGAGACACAAGCATTAGCAAAACATGAACAAGAAATCCTAGAACTCTTGGCTGCACATTTCTGGCCAGGCTTTGGGAGAAGGAGGGTTGGTTAGGAAATAATATTACACATATCACATTGTGGCAGGTTGTTTGTTTGTTTGTTTTATAATATATGCTTTTTAAAATTCATTAGCAAATGACATTCTCATGCACACAAGTGTTTCAAACACAAGAAGCAAGTCCGTGTGTAGGCAGTCCAAGCAATGTGTGTGTGCGTGTATGAATAGCTGCAAACCGAATGGGACACTGAGACTTCTGTGCAGTCCGTGGCGTCAGCCTCAGCTCATTTCTGAATGTCACACTGCAGCAGTAACACAATGGAAGGGTCGCTCTTGGCGGCTTCTTTGAACTCGTCCAGCGTGATCTGGTCGTCTTTGTTTTTATCCATCTTGCTGAAAATCTTGTCCACTCGCTGCTCGGGCGTGAGGCCGTCCTCATTCATTTTCATCATGATCACAGTGCCCACCATCTTGTAGATGGCCTGGGGAGACAAGAAGTGGGCGGGCCGTAAGGCTCTGCTGTGATACGGTAAAGACCCCGGTTTGCTTCAAAGAACTCCTTAAACGGTTTTAGTGAGAGCGATATACTCAAATATGTGTGTCTCCCGACCAGATGGGTAGAGAGGGACTTTGGGTGATCCCCAGGTAACTGGCTGGAGGAGGTGGGTGGAAAGAGTAGCTCAGTGGTAAGATCAAGAATCATGGCTTAGGAACAGGGTCAGGGAGGAAAATGATGGCTTCAGTTTTAAACACTGAGTCTGAAGTGTACATGGAGGTCAACAAGCCCGAGCCCTTGATGAATTAGGAAAAGATGAAATGTGGTCTCAACTGAGAAGGAACTTACACTGTTTAGGCAAGCAAGCACGATGGACCCTAAAACTGAGCCCTGAAAGGAGTCAGTGTGAGGAGAGCTGTGGACTAGGAACTGTGTTCATAAGTTAAAGACTAGAATAAGAAGATTGCAATTGTTCCATTCTTCATACACAGTCCTCAATGCGGAAATTTCCTAGATAGAAACAACTTTTTATCTTTTTAGGAAAGTGCCTTAAAAAAATAAATGCCCATCTATACAAAAACTTACAGATTCATAGCCAAAAAGTGGAAGCAACTGGTAAACAGATGAACAAATACGACATATTTTTACAATTGAATACTATTTTAGCATAAAACAATGCAAAAACCCTACAACATAGGTAAAAACAGAAGCCAGGCACAAAAGGCCACATACTTACATTGTTTGATTCCATTTATGTGACATGTCCAGAAAGACCCATAGGGACAAGGTAGAGCAACAGTTTACTGAGCCTGGGGGTGGCAACGGACAGGTGGGCACAGGGACCTTACTGGGGAATGAAAATGTTCTCAAAGTGGGTTATAGTAATGGTTGTGCACTTTTCCAAGTTCACTAAAAAACATTTAATTGTACAGTTAAAATGGGTGAGTTTATGGTCTATAAATTATGGCTCAATAAAGTTTTTTTAAAATGCCAAATGGAGGAGCCACGGCGGCATCTTATGCCCACAGGAGAAGCTGGTGGAGGAAGAGGGCGACTCCTGGCAGAGCAGAGCTAAGCCACGGGCGGAGAAACAGTCCTGATAACACCCTTCGTGCCCAGAAGGCTTGTCTGTGGGAGACCCCCAAGTGTGAGTGGCTGTTTACAATGCTGACTCCGTTGACAGCGCCCAGGGGCTCGGATCTGTGCTTTTCCCAGCCCTGTGCTGGACTCGGGGACAGGGTTAGGAGAATTCAAGGCTTGGCATGTCACTAGCAGGGCTCCTGAGGGAAGAAGAGAAGCCGCCGCCACAGGCCTGTGCCTAAGGAAGCTGGGGCGCAGGCCTGGGGTCTGCCTCTGCCCCGCAGGGCAGGGCTGGCTGACCCCGAGAGCCCCCGCTCACCTCAATGATCTCCAGCATCTCCACGCGGGTGATCTTGCCGTCGCCGTCCAGGTCGTACATGTTGAAGGCCCAATTCAGCTTCTGCTCGAAGCTGCCCCTGGAGGTGATGGACAGGGCGCAGATGAACTCTCGGAAGTCGATGGTGCCGTCCCCGTTCTTGTCGAAGGTTCGGAAGGCGTGCTGGGCAAACTTGGAGGCGTCCCCGTAAGGGAAGAACTGCAAAGCGGAACACACGCGAACGTTCAGGTGGCAGCAGGGATAGTCACAGCCCGGCTGGGCTGAGGTCTGAGCAGGGCTCGACGGAGGCCAGCCCGTGGGTGGTCGCGTGCGGCTGTCAGAGGAGCTGTGACAGGATCACCTGTCTGAACAGCAGTGTGGCCCTGTGCTCAAGGCCACAGGCAGGCACCCGGACGCCGTCTGCTGGTGTGACCTCACTCACAAGCACCTCGCTGTTTCCTGTGGGCGAGGCTGGGAGCTAACATCCCTCATCTGCGGCCTCCCCGTCGCTCCCACAAGGACAAGGACTGTGGCGGGCAGCAGCCTTCTCCCCAGGTGGGGCGGTGCTACCAGGACATCCAGCTCCTTCCCCTGTGAAAATCCAGGTCCACCGCCTGCTGGCCCGAGTGAGATTGCCAGGACCTGCTTTCTCCTGTCCCCGGCTCCCTGCCCCCAGCCTTCTGCTATCTCTGGCTGAGGCTCTAGTGTCCGATTTCTTTTTACAGGGACTTTTCTTTTGTACAACAGACATTTTAAAGCCATTAAAAATAGAACATGCCTGGGCTTACTTTTGAGAGAGAGAAAGAGGTTTCTTCTCAGAGCCACCAGTTGGCAAGGGTGCGGCGGGAGATGATGGACATGGGAGGAGAGGGGAGGAGAGCCCTGGAGAGGCCAGGCCGTGCAGAATGAGGCCATGGCCTCAGCCCCCGGCCATGGGTCTAGGGCAGTCACAGATGGCAGGGAATCACACCTGACCCCTGTCTGCCCCAGCAAAGCTGAAGGGCATTCTCCAGGTGGAGGGCAGAGAAGGGGCAAAAACACCTTGAATGCCCCCCATCGCCCTGTGCTGTTTTAAAGCAAAGAAGGTTTGTATGTAACGTGTTTCTGGATGAACAATCTAGCAAATACCAAATTCAAAGCTTATTCTTGAGGGTTTGCTTTGTAAGTTTCGCCACTTGCTAGTGGGACAGGCTGGCCACCTCCACACAGACGGCTGGCTGCGTGCCCAGCTGGGGCTGTCTCCCCTTGGAAACCCAGTTTCTCTTTCTCGAGGTGCAGTCCTCCCTCCCCACAGCTTCAGAGGGAACTTTTCATAACGTCTGCACCCCGTACCGGCTAATGGCCTCTAACTGTTCTCAGAAGAAGGAACAAAATGATCCCCAGGCCCGCGAGCCCTCCCAGGCCTGTCCTGCCCCGTGTCCAGGGTCTGGTCCCCTCCCCTGCTCCTCAGGCTTCTTTCATCACTTGGGACCTTGCTGTGCTCTTGGCTACAGCCGTGCTGTCCCCTTGTCGGGCATGCTCCCCGCCCGCCACGCCAGCTCGCGCCTGCTCATTCTTCAGACCCTGAATCAGCTCCTTTTCTCAGGAAATCCTCCTCGGAGCCCAGGTCAGATGTGCGCACGTGACCGAGTCCCACCCTTGGTAACATTTATCATGGTTGTGAAGAAATGCTCACGGGGTTGTTCGATTAATGCCTTCCTCCCCCAGTGGGCTGTAGGTTCAATGGAGACAGGGAAGGGCCAGGTTTTGCACCCCACCCTGCTCCCCACTGTACTCCCTGGTGCCCAGTACAGGGCCAGGCCACAGAGGTGCTCAATAAGTGTCTGTCCATCAAAGTGACTCAGCATCGCAGGTCATTTTCAAGCCCGAGGAGACAGCTGCACATTCCCCCGATGACCACTGGAAGGTTCTGAAATATGTTCTGATGGTTGTCATAACTCACTATGCTAAAGGCGGCTCACCATTTGGCCTGAAAACTTGTCATTCCCATCACTATGTTAGCTGGTGATTCACGAGGATGTGAATCATTCCCAGGGCAGTGCATGCACTTGGTCACGTGGCTAGAAAGAGGAGAGAGACATATCCCCTTAAATAGAAGTGGGGAGTCCAAAAACTGTTTCCTGCCAAAGTGTTCATTCAACAGATACTCACAGAAGCCTAGCTGGTGCCAGGCTCTGTGCTGAGCTCTGTGTGGGCAGGAGGCAGGGTGAGGAGAGGCGATGGAGAACAGCAGGAAATGTGAGAGCTGGTGCCTGCCCTAGGGCAGATGTAACAAGTCAGAGGTAGATGAGCTGAGCCCGGGAGTGGCCTTCCACGCATGGGCTCTCTGGGGGGATGCTAAAGACACACCCAACTCCTTCTAGAACAAAGTGGTCCATTCAGGATCAATCGCCATTTCACCCTGCAGCCAGCTCATTTCACAACATCATGAACAACAAGCAACAACATAGGTCCTAGGCACCTAGGACTGGTTGGAAGGAGGAAGCCCAGGCAGGCCTGGGGAGGTCGGGGGAGCGGGCAGGCTGCAGAGAGTGAGCTTGACCGGGGTCTGAAGGGAGCAGGAGGTGCGGAGGCGCTGTGTCTGCGTGGGGTGTTGAGGGGCAGCCTGTACGGGGTGGTGGGGCCAGCAGAAGCCATGGGCCAGCTGGGGAGATGCTCTGTCGGTGTGTTGAGCCTTCCTGGGGTGAAGCTGCCTGGCGGGTGGGGAGCGAGGTTCAGGATGGTGGAGATAAGCTAAGCTACGGCCGGGGAGACACCGCCTGGTGGTTTACACTTTAGATGAGGTGGCAGTTCTGACTCCTGACAGGGAGGCTGTCCTCTCACATTTCCATATTTATCTCTGCAGGGACAGCAGACAGCAAGCAGCCTTGCCCTGCAGGCTTCCAGGCTCCCTCCACCAGGCTCATGAATAAAGATGCTGAGCCTCCGCTAGGAGAGCCCTCCAGGTCTTCCCCGGAGCAGAGAGGAGGGGAGGCCACGGCTGGGCAGACCTGCTAAAACAGAACAGGCCAACCAGCCCCAGGTGGGGCGTGGGAAGGGCATCCAGGGTCCGAGTGCTGGGTGTACAGGTGAAACCTGGAGCACCAGAATAATTTCTCCTCTCAATACCTCAGTTTCTCTGCCTGTAAATCAGTAGATTAAACAAAATGGCTTAAGGTTCCTCATTCCAAGTCTCAACTTCTGTGACTCTGCCATAAAAAATGGCAGATGCTTTATGAATGTGGAAGGACCCTCCAAAGCAAGGCCTGTCATGAACTCCTTTGAGAAGAGCCCTGTCCAATAGAAAGATATTGTGAGCCACAAATCTGAACCACATAATCATTTAAAATTTTCTAATAACTATATTTAAAAACAAGTGAAATTAATTCTAATATTTTCTTCAACCCACTGTATTCAAAACACATCAAATTATATTATTTTAACATGTAATCAAATTAAAGTTATTAATGAAATGTTTTCCATTTTTTGGACTAAGTCTTTGAAATCAGTATGTGTGTCATACTTATGACACATCTCAGTTCCTACCAGACACATTCTGAGTGCTTGTGGCTCATGGCCACCATGCAGAACCTTGCAGCTCTGGACAGTGCAGCCAGTGCAAAAGAATGTGTTTTAATTGCCCAAATTCTAGAAGAATAGGCCAGTGCTGTAAATGACCTTCAGGAGTATGTACATGTGATTGCTCTACACCTGGGCAGGGAAGCAGGGGTTTGTGTGTCAGCCAGGAAAGCTGTGAGCCTCAGAAAGGCTGCAACCTCTCAGGCCTGGACATCAGTTTTTCTTCCCCCCCTTGGGCACACCAGGCTTCTAGGCCAGTGAGTGGCCAGGCAGTCTGGGCCTCCTGCTTGCGTGTGGAGCTAGGACAGCTGTATGGATCCTGGCTTCCATCCCGAACCCAGGTGTCTGATGCCCTCACACCTTGGTAACACCTTCCATGTCCTCCTAACCCTGGCCTGTGTTTCCCCTTCCCAGGTACCACCCACCAGGGAGTGCTATCCACAGTACTCTCACCAGCTTTAAACAATATTTGTGAAATGTTACTCTGAAGGGGAGTTCTCTCCAGCAAATCTTGACCCCGTCTGAGAGAATCAGTATTGTTTTTCCTTCTCTAAGAAGCAATAGGGGAGTCAGCATGGGTAAGGGGAATGAATGAGGGCTCTGGAGCCATTGTGACCACATCAAACCCTGACTCCACGTCTAAAGTGGCTATGTGGCCTTGAGCAGGGCACTTTGTTTCTCTGCCTCAGTTTCCACTGGGTGTAAAAAGACCAGTCCCATGCGTGGTTAATGCAGTAGCTTATCTAAGCATTTTGTGCACTGCTAGGAGACACACACAAAAAAAACACCCGTAAAAAAACGTAGCTTCTATCTCCTCCCCCTTGCCCTCAGGCCCACGGATGTCTGTTTTGGAGTCTACATTACAATTCGTGCCATCTCTGGAAACAAGGCACCTCTGTTCTGTTGAAGTGTAACTGACCGCACATTGATTCACACCGATGCACTAGACATTGTTTCAAGTCCTTTTGCGAGTTTTAACTTAATTCTTATAACACTCCAGTGAGGTGGGGCTCACAGATGAGAAAACTGAGGCATAGAGAAGTCAAGTCACTTTCTCAAGGTCACACAGTAAATGGCAAAGCTGAGATGTGAATGTGGGAAATCCACCTGCAGAGCCCTGCTGCTGATCTGTTTTGTCTCACTGTTACACCAGAGCCTCCCAGAGGAGGGGACTTTTGACCTGAAGCTCCAAAGACAAGAACCATAGACCAGGGCGGAAGCTTTTGGGGTAGCCACATTGATGATCTGAACCCAGATCTGGCCTCAGCAAGTCCTATCAGCAGACATTTATGAAGCTTTACATTTTGCCTGCCACCTGTTATCAGCCAGCCCGGCAGCTTCCCGCCGCCCACGGCTTTCTGTCGGGATTCTATTTCCCGGATCATCATTCCCAGCAGGCCTCTGAGATTCGTGGCTCAGCAGCAGAGTCCTGACTTTGATCTCTGGAGTGTCCCTCTGGTGGCCGCACACCAGGCTCTTTAGCTCAAGTCCCTCCAGTGGACCCTTCCCTTCCCGTGGGCACCTGTGGTGGCAGCAGCCACAGGGGCACTGAATTCCCAGCTCTGCCCCACAGCTTGTTGCTAAGCAGCTGGTGCAGACTGAGATGTGTGGAAGGAAACCCTCCTGGTAACAAAAACAAACCCTCATGTGCCCAGAGTTGC